TTCTCTGAAGTGTAGATATGAATAGTTCTTAGTAGTCCTAAAGAAAGCAGTTCTTATATCATTATTTTGGTAAAAAGTTGTATAAAAAATACAAAATTTCTTGACAAGATATATTTTTGAGACAATAAGTTACTAATATATAAAAAACAAAAATCAAAAAAAATATTGAAATAAATAAGATTTTTAAAAAAACTACCGATAACGGAAAATATTTAAATTAAAATACAAATACACTGAAATATTTCAAAAGAAACATAAGACATTGATATAGACTTTTCTGAATATGTAACTAATTCAGTCAGAGTATTTGCAGTAATTTCGATTACATTCTTTACGATCTATTAATTATATTCTCCAGCAAATAATACCAAATTTTTTACTTTGTGATTGATTCCATCTCTCCATCTTAGACGCGAACATCTTACACGGTTGGCTGTTCAGTACTTCACGAATTAATACCAAGGCCTTGATTTGTTTATATATAATAGGTATATTTATGTGGCTATATGTGTATAAGCTTCTACAGATTACATTCCCAATTATGACTCCAAAACTTATGTTATAGTATTTTCTTTTTAAAGATTACCAATTTATTTCCTCTTTACCTAATAAGAGTTAATACCAAGTGTTAGTTTAAAACAATAGGTTTTGGGAATAAAATTTTGTCCACATGTTTGCGAATCAACGAACTTTCCAGTAAGGCTAATTTTTTAACTTCTTTTTCTGATTCTTATACTACATAGTATCATTATTTCTTATAATGTTAATTTTTTGTTTGTAAAATAATATTAGAAGAAAAAGTAAAATTATTTATTAAAAATGTTTATTAAAACTTACCTGACTCTTATACCATTTTATTCGGTTTGTCAGTATTTTTCCTTAATTTTTGTAATTCCTGTATACATACCTATAGCATGTAAGATGAATATAGAAGGCGGCATGGAAATAATATATACTGCATTCTTCGTAATTAATAATGAATTTTAATACATTGTTATTACACTTCCAAAATAAATACTCTAAAAATAAAATAATTAATTAGTTTAAAATAGTAATCATATCGAAACAAGTTTTTATAATATCGTATTTGTAGAATTAAACGCTTTTTTATGGAACACTAGCAGTACTCCCCAAAATATACCTTTTCATCTTATATTAATATACAAAGTAACTTATTATATAAACAATAAAGATACGAAGTTTAATGCAAAAAACTTAAAAATGATAGAAGATATTTAGCGAACCAGCTATACACTCATATAATTTCATATCTCAATCGTTTTAAAAAAATCCCTTACAGATAATTTACATACATATATATATATATATATGTAGAAGAATGCTTTAACGATCAAAGGAATGATTTGTGTTTACACTTAATATTGACAATAATGAATTTTTGTTAGTATATATAATACATAATATATAATATAATACGTACAATGAATGTATCTGATATATTCGTAACGAATTTTAAAGAAAATATTAATTTATTTATATATAACATATGTATATTGGTATGATATATTATAATGAATTTTAACATTAATTTATTTCTATATAAACTTTAATCGTATTATTAATATTGTGGTTTTAATTATTAGTGTTATCCTTATATCTTTATATAGTTTTGTTATTTTATGGTATAAACAATATATTTCTGAATAACAATATAGTGAAATAAGCATATGTTATTATTTTAATAATTGTTCACATATTTATTATATACATTAATATAACTTCAGATTTCTTTCATAATTTTTATAGCTCTCAATTTTAATGATACTTTATGGAGAGTGTGTCCCATATTGTCGATGACTACCTAATGAGTTCTTAGAGAAGCGCGATGGCTACTATACTATATATACTTTAATTACTGGTGCAATATTCCATTTAAATACAAAAAATCTTTAAATATTTATACATTTTTTTTAATATAAATTTATTCATCTAACTTTTTACTTATATAAAAATTAGTGTAATTATTATTATCAAGTAGTGAAAGAATCATTGTTTTACGAAGCTTTTTTATTTCTTGGTTTGAATTGTTTAGTTGTGATTAAAATAAATGTGCAATAAAATAAATATAAATATATTTGTAAATTATTTCATTATTATTATTGTTACATTGTTAATGAAATTTATATCTGCTTTTACAACTGTTTTTGCAAACTGAAGAGAATGAAGAGTCGACCACATATGTATGTGCTGGTAGAATGCCCTGCGCTAATGCACATATGGAATAGGCTCCTGGGAATGTATATTTTTACGGAAAAGGCAATAAAATTCTGTAAAGTATGTTCTATACTACTTTTTATTGACGCAACAGGACGTAGAGACCCACTCTAAACCCAGAAGGGGGCACAATAGACCCAATGGTCGCAGTGCCACATTCCCTTAGAACAATAATAATAATAATAAAATCGTTTTACTAAAACCGATATATGTATAGATATTCGCAAAAAATTAAGTATTAAACATAGCTTTAATTTAAATAAAAATAAATTTTGTTGATGTTCTTTTATTAATAAATTAATTATATTATTTCAAAAAAATTTTAACAATTCTGAAGAACGCTTTCAAAATTTTGCATGAGAACGTTCCTACACAAATTTTACTAACTGATTGTTTTCAGAACGAAAGATATATTTGGCTGTCCATTAATAACATTTATTTCCATTGTAAAAGAATTTAAATGCTGTTATAAAAAAAGTTTTCCAAATGAATATCCCCACCTTAGTGTTTATAGTAGAATTTGAAGATTGTAAATACAATAACCAGGTGGTTCTCACTGCTTCGATCTTAATTACTCATATATATATCTTATGCTTTTCCAAGTGTATTTAAGTTAATAAACAGGCAAATAATATATATACTACACTCAGAATGACTATAACACCAAACAACTATTTAGTTCATATACCTATAGATTTAATATCTATAAACAAATATTACAACTGCCTTTGTAAAGTAAATATGTGAACTTTTCAATCAATTCTATAAATTAAAACTGGTTTTATTATCTATTATTATAACTGGTTCTTATCTAATATGTTGGTTCAAGTACCAACTAGGTACCTTATTGTTAGCAGTCACTCAGAGATAAGATTTAGAATTCAGCTTGCAGCCAACTGGTGTGGTTGTTATAAAACATTATTTTTAGTGATATATAAATTTTTTAATGACCTACATATATTTGTGTTCTCTAAATTTGTTTGTAGGTGTGCTTAGTCTTAATCTGACCACACATAAATATTTTTGAAGACAGTATTCAATTTGCTATGTTTTTTCTTGCACACCCTTACTTCTATAATTTTGGTTGAATGGGATGTCCAATAGGTGGCCATGTCAGATAGAAATTTGGAGTTTTCTGTTTCCAAAAGTTTGTAGCTTGACTATATTATGATACATTTTTTGCAGCCCACTGTGGTTAAACAGTCATTTTTCATTGTTTTACACAAGTTGCTTTTAATCATTGTATAACTGGATCATCCACAATTTAATTTCTTTGAACGGGCTGGTGTTCTGGTGCCATAGAATCCATAGTTCTATACTTTAACCATAAATAAAATTTTTGACCTTGTCTCTTCTTTGCTATTCAAATCCGTCTAAAATATTTAATACTTCAGTGAGCTTTTCACTATCTTACTCTATATATACATAAATTGGGAATAGCTCAAGAAGTTGTGATAATTTTACACACTCCAATAGACAAGTTAAAACTCTTCTATAAAAATGTATAGGTTAACAGCGAAAACATCGTGTAATGACACCTCAAAAATCATTTACAGCCATCTCAACATACCCGTGAATATGAAGGAATTTTACTACATACATATATGTAAATGAGAAAATTCTAATCGTTAATTAGTATTGCATATGCCACATAGCCAAATCCGTGGAAAGCGTATGAGAAAGTGCACCTCTTGGAATGACAATGGATGGAATGGAATGACACGTAACGTTATGAAATATGTATTAGTCTTCTGATAAACACCGCGAGTATGTAATTCGGCTGTTAACTGTTTGTATATATTTCTGTAACGTAATGACGCATCGGTTACCGCACAATCTTCCATATGTATAGCGCACCCCAATGTCGTGTAGGCTCAGTAAGTGAGTGTTAGTGCGTCGACGTACACGTTCCATAATTTGCGCGCATTTTTGAAATTTATTTTCCTTTAAAAAAAAAATTGTATTCGAAAAACAAGAAACCTTCAGTTGGGTTTCTTTAGCACGTTCTACACATCAGTTCACAACATAGAAGAGAAGAGTACGGAAGAAAAAAATTGTTTTTCTTGATATTCCGTTTTAATTTGTTTCGCGTTTATGAGGGTATTTCTCCATACCATACCTATAAGTGAACAAACACACCATACCTATTTCTCCGTACCATATCTATAAGTGAACAAACAACTACCAAAAAAATATAACCACCAACGGAACTATTGCGTTGCAGTTGAAACAAACTACAAACACGAACACAAATACGAAGTCGAAGTCGAAGACGAAGACAACTTCGTTTGACTTTACCAAGGAACTACAGAATTCAAAGGGTGCCTGCTGTTCTCAATACTCGCTGCTGTCTTCCTTTATTTTTAAATTCCTCAAGACAAATCAGTTAGATTCGATCAACGGAACGCGCAGGAACTTCTCTATAAACAGAAGAAAGTATCCTTTCGGTATAATTAAACGTAGTTAGTGTAGTTTGCTCTTTTTTGTTGTGTTTTAAATTTGTTTTTAATATTAAATTTAAAAAATTGTTAAATAAATATTTTCGTTTTTATACGTTTTGTTGAAAAGTAACATTAATTAACAGTATTCATTTATTATATAAAAGTTAATAAATTTTATAGACAGAAAAAAGTGTGAAAAGAGTTGTTAATAAAAACGAATATTTGCTTTAATTTTATAAAAATAATACAAAATTTAATTAAAAATTACTTTAATTCCATATTGTAAAAATTATTGTAAATAATAATTATTAAAACGTTGTATTAGTAAAAAACAAAACATGTCCTTCTCGAAAGCTAAACTAAAACGTTTTAACGATGTTGATATAGTATGTGGTTCGCCTGCAGCCGCTAAGCTCGTGCAGTCCAGTACAGCCGACTTAATGAATGCCGTTGGTACACCAACACCGACTATAAATTCAACATCGTCAACTTCATCCGCTCATCCAGAACGCAAGGAACAAATCGAAAAATTTTTTAAAGATGCAGTACGTTTCGCCTCCAGCAGTAAAGAATCGAAAGAGTTTGCCGTGCCAAAAGATGGCGCTGTTAAAGAAGACAAAAAGTCAAAGGGATTACGTTTGTTTCGAACACCATCCTTGCCGCATCGTTTACGTTTTCGGCACAATTCCGATGCTACTGCAGCAAGTAATAATAATAATAATAATGGTAGTGGCAGTGGCAGTATTGCTTCTGCCTCCAGTTCCACACATTTGCATTCTGCTACCACAACCCCAATCAAAGAATTGTCGAAATCTGCTAGTCGTCTTAAAGGTAAAGAAGCATTGCAACATGAAATACGCAAAAAGAATGAAATAATTGAAAGCTACATGAGTCAGATAGATGTGTTAAAACGTCATGTAGAGCAGCTCAAAGAAACCGAGCTTAAATTGCGTGAAGAGAATTCAAATGCCAAACTGAAAACTGAGCAACTGGTATTGGCACTGACCGCTGAAAATTCTGAGCACAAAGAACTAAACGATAAACTTAGCGCTGAAAATGCTGAAGCATATACACAATGTTCCAAGTTGGAGGTTGAACTGAAACAGCTTAACGAAAGACATGCTGCAGAAATTGAAGCTCTTAATGCTGTTTCAGCTAAACTGAAAGATGAAAATAATAGATTAGAACAAGATGCGCGACAAAGAAGCGCTGAAAATGCCACCAAAATGGAAAAAATTGAGGAGCTCAATAAAGAAATTAAAAGCGCTCATGAGAAGATTGCTTCTGATATTGAGAAATCTAAGCAAAATTTTGAACTAATACAGAATTTAAAGAATACGAACGATGCGCTAATAAAAGACGTCACCGAGCTCAAATCCAGAATAGAGCAAGATGCACTCGCGTATGCGCAAGAAACTAGGGCTGTTCAAAATCAAATGGATTGCCTTAAAAATGAACGTAATACTTTGAAAAATGATTTAGCCAGCAAGTGTGAATTTATACGTTCACTACAGGATGAACTACTTGATAAGAATTGCGAAATAGATGCTCATTGTGACACTATTCGACAACTATGTCGCGAGAACGCTAAGTATGTGGAGAAGGAACGCTTTATGGAAACAGCTGAAGAAAAAGTGCGTTTGGCTGAAGTGCAAGCAGAACAGAAGGTTCAAAAATTAGAATCTGATCTAGAAAACGCCATTGAAACAGAAAAAGCTTATTGGCGATCCGAACTCCAGAAACGTCAAAAATTAGCAGAAAATGAAATTATACGTATCGAGCTGGAAAAACAGGATGTGATTATGCTACTTGAAACTACCAATGACATGTTGAGAGAACGTGATGAAAAGATACAAAAATATGAGGAGCAGTTGCGCAACGGTATTGATTACTACATACAATTAAATGAAACATTGCAAAAACAAATAGCTGACCTAAAGCAAGACATTGCAAAAACCCTTACTGAAAAGTATAACTATCAGTTAACTTTAAGTAATACTAGATCAACAGTTAATATACTTATGGAGCGATTGAAGAAGTCCGATTCTGATGTTGAACAATTTAAAGCGGAGTTGGAGTCTGTACAGTTGGCTAAGGGTGCACTAGAACAAAGTTATCTTTCACTACAGACAGAGCTGGAGTCAATGAGGCACAAGTTTAGTAAATCAGAAGAGGCATTAGAGGGATTACGTGACTCATCACAGACGCTGCAAAAAGAGGTATCAATTAAAGAAAGCATTTTCAATCAAATTCTTACCTCAGAAGAGGAAACTTTGGCTAAATTCAATAAGATTGCTTCTTCATTCCAGGAGCGCATCGATGCGGATGCTGCAAATTACCTGGACTTGTACAATGAATTGAAAAATAAGGACGAAATGCGAGAAATCTATATGCAAGATATGAAGAAGGCTTTAGATGAATTTGCAACTGTATTACAATTTGCCAAATTGGAACTTGATAGCAAAGAGAAAATACTAATCAAGGTACGTGACGAATGTGAAAAACTCAAATTGGAGAATATATCGTTAAAATCAAAAATTGACGATACAGCCAATAAAAAGGAGAATATCACTGATTTGGAGAAAATTGAAGATTTACTTATTGATTCTGAATTGCGTGCGGAATGTGAAAAAATTACTTCATGGCTTTTAAACACATCGGAAAAGTGTGTGCGCCATGAGAGTTCAACGGAAATTTCTGAATTACTTAAACCAACGACGCCAAATAATAAAACACGTAATTGTACCACACCGGTACGTTCATCGGCTGGTAAAGTGAACAATACGACACCACGTACACCAAAGACACCACATACGCCTCGAACCACACCAAAGAAAACGGTACTATTTGCAGGTAAAGAGAATGTACCAAGTCCACAAAAGCAGGTACTAAAAGCACGTAATATGTAACTAAGGATGCAAATAAGCTCTTGCTAACTAATCAAGAGGGTGATCTATGTAGGCTTATTTGTTACATGCTTGTGGTTAGGAGGCTTAACATAATTATATACTATATAGTTATAGTTTTTATATTATTTATTTTATTTATACAATATAAATATTAAAAATCATTTTATACACAAAAATGTTCTTTACAAATTGGAATTTTGTATCTTTTTTCCTATATAATTTTTATAAATACATATGTGAATTTAAGAAAAAAAATATATGGGTTAAAAATATATTATCTTGTTCTTTTATTCAAATTAATCACTGCTCAAATAATAGTTATATAGTATAAAATAATAAAAAGTTAATGAAAAATAATAACAAATTATACCGAGGATTTGAATTTCATGTATTGACTTAAATACTTAAGAATCTGTAGAAATTGTTTTGAAAAACATTGATATAATATCACTATAATACCAAAACTAGTATTACCAAAATATTATATAATACTACCAAAAGTAATATAATAATATTAACATAATTCAGATATAAAAATATAATAATAACAGTAGGCTCACGCACTACTATTAATGTCAGATTTCCGTAGTCCAATTACTAAATTAATATTATTTACCGTATTAATTAAGTCAACGTGAGAAAATTGTGAGTTCTTTCAGTAAAATAACTTATAAATATATAACTTGTTTCTAAAAATATATGTAAAAAAAAGAATTTTTGATATTCGTATTCTCAAAATTCAACCCCTTAGTGTAAAAATGATGGCGAGGGTAGTAAAAAGAAATTTGATTCCAATAGAACAGAAATTTGTAATATCCTAAAACTCTATATCCGTAAGCACTCTATTAATAGTTAAACTCAAATTAGTTAGTTTTATACGATTGCATCGGTGCAAGGTGTTTTTTATGTTAAACAATATATATTCAATATCAAATTAGAAACTTTCGACAATGCGTACGTATATAGCGTATATATAATATACGACTGTATTTTTTAGATAGAAAACATCTTACAGTAGTTTTCAGCACAAAATTTATCAGAAAAATTTAAAATGTGTTTTATAATGATCGACACCAATATATTCTCATATAATAATGTCGTGAAAGAAAAAAATAAAATATTTTATATATTGAGGGTGTTATGGCTTGAACTGGCAATGGTCCACAGACCAGTGGTTGAGAGACTCTGACCTAAAAACAATACTGTGAAATCAACTATATATTAAATTATACTTAATAGGTATTTAACTTATTATTTCAGATGAATTCAAACGTTTTATTCTTAAATCTAAAAAATTCACATTTTCTCCTGAGTGATATTCTCTAGTATCCATGTTTATAAACATACGAAACAATTCATTAATGAGACTAAACATTTTTCTGAATCGCTGTAGTTTTCATTAAATATAGTATATGTACTATACGTAATAAATTTTCTTTTTTATTTCGAAGTTTTTAGTAGAACTAAAATTTTATGATAATATATAATATATAATATTATATATACATATTATAAAATAACATATTAACTATAAATAACATATTATTACATCAATTGTAGATGTAATAATATCCACGAGTACACCAAATATGATTTTCTACTGATTAATATACCTACAACACAAAATACGTAGGCCGCTTTTTAAGTCTTGCGCCTGGACAGTTAGTATTGTCAGATGAATTTAGACGTAGCTTATATGCTTATATATAATAGCAGAATTGTCAGCAACTATATTGGGAAGAATTGGGAAGAATTTAAGTGAGAAGTGGTATTTAATTTGAGGCCTATGCCATATGCTCTACAAGAAGAAGAGGACTACAGAAAAATAAAAAAATTTGATTTGAATATTGGAAGAGACTATTTGGTTCAGATATCGAAACTTACGATTTATTTACAGTAACTGGGCAGCACCGCTTCTAGTTTGCGGTCTGCTTTTTATAGATTATTTTTTTTTAAACAGTTTTTCACTTGTTGGATTGTATCACCTCAATTTTTTACCACCTTTCACAACTTTTTAGTCGCTACTAGTTCGTCGGTGTAGCCACTTATCAATATTTCTGTAATAGAAATATAACATATTATTAACAACTTTAATCAGAGTTATTAGGTTAGAGTTATCCATAGAAATGAAAATTAAATTTTTTATATATGAAATATTTTTATATATGTACATACATATGTATATGGTATTTGTACTTAAAATCTGTTGCGCATAGGGCTGAGCTTCTTTTTAGAAAAGGCAATTAATTAACTAAGAAATCAATGGGGAAGGGTACGGCTTATGTGTTTGCTGCGCATTGTTGCGGAAGAGTAAATAGGATTCTCCGTCATTCTTTTTCGTTGTTGTAATGTAAATGAAATCCATAATTGAGAAATACCAACACATCGGTGTGCAATATTATGTGAACTGAACACAGGAAACGGATTGAAGACAAAAACAAGTTATATGGACTGCCTCTAAGAGTAATTTCTAAAAACCGAAAAGGAACGTTAGGGAGTATTGCAATTACTTTTCAAAACATTTTTTTCCTTATTTTTTATATTTTATTCTTTATACAATTTTTTTTTTCCAATGAAAAAAAATGTGACGAAATCGTAATAAGTAAAGAAGGAAAAATAATAAAAATGTTCTGGGGTTAGAAAATAAAATACAACAAAACTTTTGAACGCAGCGTACCGTGCAAAGTTGAACATTTTACTCGCAACTAAAGCAGCTGTTGCCTTCATTACACTGCAAAACCAGTATGAGGGACATCAATATTCTGTACTGCGGTCCGGTACGTAACCCACTGAAATATTTTATGATTAAAGTTGATTAAAAGTGTTTTTATTTAGTAAATAAGAAGTTAGTTGGTATCGATCTACTAAAATAACTTCAAGACTTTAGTGTAAAGCTTTACATTTTCGAGTATCTTATTATCCTTTTATCTTTTATTTATAACTATACAACTATACAATGCTACAGCTAAATGCTAATATACACTCGAACAATTTATCAATTACTTTGCTCTTAATTTGCATATATAGAACTCGTATTTCTATTCTTATATGAATTCTCCTTCGGAGAGAAAATAATAATTCGGTGTGACGGTATAGTACAATGGAAACGCCGGTGCTGGTGTGCAGATGTCTGCTTGACTTGGTTGAAATCACCTTGGTTCATGTCTGCAAGTACGAAAGGAACAACATTACAAATATGTAAGCAGATGCTTACTGAATTATTTTGTTTCCGATTATCATGGCTATTATCGAAGAAAGTAATTTTTTTATATACAATTTTATTCCCATTTGAGGACAACGAACTGCAAGTAATAAGAAAATAATTATTACTTTTATAATACGTATATAATGTATTCCTGTAATATTTATATCAGAACACTGAGCATATAGATAAAATCCCATACATTGAATTCTTACACTGATCGCATTTGATCAAATACTAGTCATAGAAATCGTTATTTCTGAGGGAATGTTTTCAGAGTCTCCCAATAGCAAGGGAATTCAAGATTAAATGTAGTAAAATGTTCTATGATTTTTGTTAATAATCCAAACTTTTTTACATATGAAAGTAGGTGCATATATAAAAATTCAAGATCAATAAACATATAGATTAGGAGTTATACTTTACCTGTAATTACATACATTGTAATAATGTTTCAATGTATATAATTTCATCTACTTAACAATTCACTTATATAGAAGGTTAACATGGTCAAAACTTTTAGAAACAAAGAAAGTACAAAACAAACTTTAAGTTCTTAAGTTACACTGCTTGTTCAATAAATAATCCCCTTTTAAGTTCTTTTAGATAAAATTATAATTTAGATATACAGTCTTCAATATGCACAAGCAATTTAAATACGTGTAACATTGAAATCCTCCAAAGAGTTCAGTCAATTATACCTATAATATTAGGGGTAAACATAGAAGCATTAAGATATACCAAAAATGGCAAAATTCACATAGTTTTCAACTAGGCACTTACGTCTATAAAGATCAGACTGCCCCTCATAAGTCAAAAATAAACTTACCTTGTTTATTATTACTGTTGTCACTAGTTTTAACTTATTCTTATCTAAGTAGAAGAGATCAGAAAAACTATATTACTGAGCTTTAGACGCGCCTGTAATGGATTTACGACGTTACTGTGGAGGGTAGAGCAACTATATCAAAATAAATATACATCATTAGAATATTTCAAAATCTCCCGACGAGAACGTGATAATCTATAGCAGGACAGTCCAGACCAGATGCGATCGCGGGCCAATACAAATCACTATACAGGTTGGAGTGCCGCAGAAACAAATACATATGTTCATAGTTGTTTTCGACAAAAATAAAAACATGGTTATAATGTTAAATTTAGTTTTATTAACTTATCAATTTAAATTCAATTATTTGGTATATCATAAAAATAAAATAATGTTGTTTTACTAGTACACAAAAAGAAAATTTTCGTAATTGTAGTAGATTAAAAACAGGCAGTATTTTGGACAACCCTGATCTATAGTATTATAAAATATTGTCAACAATAAGACAAAAAAACTTTTCCAACTTTTTTAATATAAATAGACTCATACATTCTTCCAACTTCTTTGATGAATATTATATTCTGAGATACTATTATATAATATGTATTACATTATATATTAATACATTTAATTATACTTGTATACTCTTTTGATTTGTTTGAAGAATATTATTTTTGGAGATACAATTATATTTTATGCATTATATAATATATTAATACATATATTATATATAATGTTATAATTATTATAATGTTATTTATTAAAAAGCTACGAAGCTCATTACAAAGGTCTTATAGCCGATATATAAGTTAAGTCCTCGCCTTTTAAGTGCAAAGCTTCTCCAAACTCATAATAGTCATTCTTCTGAGTTTAAAGCTGTTATATATATATATATTCATCAGGAAGCAGAAATGAAATAATGTGTTTTTTTAAATATATAAAAATTAAATACAATTTTTTTTGTAATATAAGCACTATATTGAATTATATAATCTTTAGTTTGTCTCAATACCTTTTTTCACCTTCCTGAAAGTATTATAAAACTCT